GTTCGCTGGAAAAAAAAAATATAATAATAATAATAATAATAATAATAATAATAATAATAATAATAATAATAATAATAATAATAATAATAATAAATTAGATCACATAACTTGATTATAGGATAATAGGTGAACTCTTGATGGTACCGCAATGGGATGTGAAGAATGGATGGTGGTGGTGGTGGTGGTGGTGGTCGGTGGCAGGTCGCGGAATTTGATGGGGAAGAAAAATCATTTTATTTTTATATATTATTTTGTTTTTCTATTTTAATCCTTTTTTTAACTTTTCTTTGTGTGTGTGTGTGTGTGTGTATATAATTTTTTTTTTTTTTAACTTCTTGTTAATTACTTTGGTGGTGGTGAAGGAGGGGTTAGGGGTCGAGGTAGGTGAAGTTAATTGGGAAGATGAATAGTACTTTGTTAGTGTGCTTTAAATTATTTTACATGAAATTCGTTTGTACTTTTTAAAAATTTTGAAACTCTAGCTGCATTTATTTCTTTTTTATATTTTTTTTCTTTTTATTTATTTATTTAAAAATGAGGGTAAGTTAGATAGTCTCCAATATTTTAATGAAGAAAATAGACAATAAGAATCTTTTGTGCAAAGAAATGTCGATCTAACGGTCCTAATGACAGATTTGAAATGATAGGGATGATTTGCGTAATGAAGAGAAACGATAAGGTTATCTTACATCAATTATCCATATATGAGAAAGGAATTGACGAAATGGAACGGAAAGTACCAACACCGCAAGAGAAATATTGCAAATGTCAAGTTTAAATCTATAGAGACGATTTACAAAATAAGTACAAATAATAACGACGTTTTGTGCTAATTACACTTTTTTGCTACCATCATTTATTGTTTTTCCCACTTTTCAATTAATATATAATTTCTAGATGAAAACAACTAAAAAAAAAAAAAAATCGAAGTTAAGAATTGTATAAATTCAACAGCTTCTTTGTAGTTATAATTTACTGTGCAACATTGCTTCGCTTTGTTCCCAATTTTTAAAATTCAATTATTTTATTTATTTATTTATTTTTTTTTTTAAAATTCTCAAACTTCTTTTCAAGCATACATTTTGTGGAACACATAACTTTTTTTTTTTTTTTTTTTTTTTTTTTAAAATTCTCAAACTTCTTTTCAAGCATACATTTTGTGGAACACATAACTTTTTTTTTTTTTTTTTTTTTATTTTTCAATCACTCATTTATCAAAAAATCTACCAAAATATAATTTTAGCCAAAGAGGGCTTTTATTTTCACTATTGTTATCTCTTGCTCCAATAGTAAGTTGACAACTGTACAAGGACAATTGCAGATGGTAAAAATGATCTTTTAATAAAAGGATCAAAAACTATGCTTTGAGCCGCTTCCATCCAAATCCTGAATCTCCATATTTCCTTATTTTGGTATCACTGCCCATGACTAGTGTTAGAATTTGGGTATGACATGAATTTTTGGTTGAAGATAATTGAGAGTTCTAACTAAAATGCACATTAAGAAGAATTCCATTTAGAATGCTTTTGAAATTTTATTCGAAGTTTATTTGATAAATTTTAATTGAAGTTCTATTTAAAAATCCAATTGAGAGTTGGAATATATGTTGGACTTAAAAGAGATCAAGATAAGAAAACTTTTGGGCATTCCATTCCATTTCATCTATAATTCTACTTCTAGGACTTGGATTGTTCCCTATATATATTTGACTCTTCTCTACAATTTAGGTACGTAGTTTAACCTCATTATAAGTTAGGTAAATTATAAACACAAAATCATTGTATTCATTCTCCGTATTATAATAAAATCTTCATCTTCTGTAAATTGTTTTCTTCTTGTGATCTTTACTTCACATAATTGTCTTAATCTCTTATCTTTTCATAACAAATTGATATCGAAATTGTTCTGCTTTCAATAAAGTGGTTTCAAATCTGGTCCGAATTCATAATAAGTGGTATTAGAGCTTTTGGTTTTGAAATTCTTGGGAAGATTGAGGTTTTTCGTGATGACAATTATGAAGTTTGATGTTCCACTATTGGATCGTAGTAAAAGATTTTTGTTGTGGCAGATTAGGAAATGAGCAGTGCTCACTTATATGAGATTGATTTTGTTTTGTTTTTTGCCACTTCATATTCGTTGTTTAAAGATACGATCTTATATATTTTTGATCTCCCAATTGAAGAAGTCTATAATGTTCTATTTCAAATGAGAAGATGAAGCATATTGTTGAGGTTCATGGAGACGACCTTATTCTTGATGGTAGTTGTGCAAAGGGTAAATTAAGGTCTAACTTCAAAATTTATTTCAATAATTCGGGGCACTTAATTAAGGATTTTTATAAGTTGCGTAATAGAGAAATCTGGCTGCAACTTTTTAGAAGGAAAGTCAATTATATACTTCAAGTGAAGCCATTGTTGAAATTTTTCACAGTGATGGAGAACTTTTACTTATGTTTGATTATAACTCCAAACCTAACGAGGTTTGGATTTTGAATACGGCTTACACTTTTCATATATTACCCAATCAGGAATTGTTTTCACCACATGAAAAAGTTACAAAAGGTGTTGTGATGATCAACAATTATATACCTTGTCGAATAGCGGGATTAGTAAGGTCAAAATAAAGATGTTTGATGGGACAATTAGTGTACTTGATGCAATGAGACGCGTTCCAAATATGGAACGAAATCTTATCTCCTTAAGTGTTCTTGATTCAAAAGGATACAAATACACTGTTGAAGGTGGAGTCCTGAAGGTTCATAAATGAGCCTATGTTTTGTTATACGTCTTTCAGTGTTATACAGAATCTTAGAATAATTAGCATATTTTAAGAATTCTGGTGGATTTAGAATTGGCTTCTATACCATTGGAATCCAATTTGGGATCTTCGTTTAAGAATATATCTCAATTGAATTTTGAAGATATGGGTAAATCTGTTTTGCCACCATTATTGACGGTGTCATCGTATTCACTTGTTAGAAATAGACCCATTTTTTAGCCATAAGACTCCATATAGGTACAATTCTTCTGATTTTGTTGATATTTTGAATGTAGTTAAGGGTGTTGATTCTAGCTAAGATCTTTCTTTTGATGCATTTAATTGTAATTCTATACATGGTTTGTGTCAGCCCTGTTTGGTGGTCATTAGATCACTTTTGCCCTAGCTAGGGTAGCAGAGGTGGAAAATATTTTTAGTTAAAATTGTTGATGAAGAAATTCGTTTGTGTTTTTCATTGAAGAATTCAAATTTATTCATTGTAATGGAATTCCTGTTAATGTAGAGATTATTAGAATTTGGGTGTGACTCGAATTCTTTGTTGAAGACAATTTAGAGTTCTAATTAAAGTACACATTAAGAAGAATTCTATTTGAAATGCTTTTGAAATACTATTTGAAGTCTATTTGACAAATTCTAGTTGAAATTCT